CTGGACCCTGTTGGAAGCCCTCAGAGGCATGACTCCAGCTAATCCTTAGCTTCCAGGGGTGAACCCAAATGTGTAGCAGGTGCTTGGTTTGATTCCCCGCTTACTCCTGAATTCTTGATCCACTCAGCACTAGTCTCCCTTTAGGGGTTTCACCTACTTTACTTGAAAGCTATTGACCTAAGATTGCCTGTGCAGATAATTTCCTGTACCCACTAACATGGATTAGATTTAAGTTTATTGAGTGCAGAGATGACATTTAAAACTTCTCTGTATCATTCACAGCACCTAGCCCAGAATGGAGTTCAAAAGTATTAATTCAATCATTGCCCCAACCAGTGGGATAAATTGAGCTGGCAGGACCCTTCTCCAACCTCTCCTTGTCCCTCCCAGCTACTCCTGCCAAGCGGATTGAGGATATTGTGTGGAGGATCACAACCTAGAGCAAACGACACTGTCTCTGATGATGGAGATGATGATATTACTAATAGCAACCCCAAGAACGACGTTTACAAGTGCTTCCACCTATGGACCATGTGCTGTGTTTAAGTACTTATGTGCCTTATCTCATTTAATCCTTAAGAAATCCTCCAAGGTATGTGCTAAATGAGTGTCAATGATGCACCTTTTACACACAAGAAACCTGAGGCTTTGGGAGAATCAGAAATGTGGATCTTAGAGCCCAGGCCCTGAGTCAGCAGGAAAACCTACGCTTCCGGTCCTGTGGTCTTGATCAGCTGTGCTGGTGCAGCCAGCACAGAGTGGAGGCTTTGAAACATAACATCTTCTCACAAAGAACCATTGTTTCCAACAGAGGGATCAGAATAGCGCTGCTCCTGTCTTCTGGGTTGATGTAAACAGTCTGGGTAGACCAGGGTCTTATCTCCATCTACAGCTAAGGAGGCCGGAGACAATTTGATAGAAGCTGCACTTCAGTGACCACAGGCACACACAGAGAGTCTGCACAGGTTCACCCAAAGATCTATCTCCAAAAGCTGAGCTTTTCCTAGAACAGCCATAATATCTGGCTTTATTCCACATTTGTTTTTACCTTGCTGCTTCTCCTGAAGAAAGCCCTATGACAAAAATTGGCAATAAAATTATTAACCATAATCATTTTTATCTTAAACCAACTCACTTATGTTTAATAACCACTGAAGTAGGTGAGTTAAAAATAACCTCGTATTCTATTTCTCCTTCTGGGTGACTGGCGTCTCTTTCCATTCAAAATTTGAGAAAATACCAAAGCTCAGCCGTGATCTTCCTTCTAGAGGCTTGTTGGAACTCCAAACACATACCCCTGACAGATACAACAGGGATTAATGAGCCATGACCAGAAGTTTGATTTTTCTGTCAAGTGCTCCCATCCGTCTTTAATAAACAGAAGAACAACATAAACTCCATTGCCTGCCTTCCACTGCTGAAACTGAGCTGGCTGTTCCTGGTACCGTGTGTGTTGAGTTGAGTTATGATTCTAAATGACTGGACAAACGCTTTTACAAGCCCCTTTGGTCTGCTACTCTGGTGACTGTCTTTGCTCCCCAAGTTCCATTTCTTTGCCTCTGTTCAACGTGGGCAGCTCAGTGCTTTGCCAGTGGAAACCGTCAAATGTAGTATCACATTTACAACTAAACGACTTCAATTTAGTGTCACTGGTGCACTATCTGTGGTGTAAAACTGCCAAAATACCCACTGTTTTCCCTTTAAGTCATGCTGTGTGCGTTTTTGCAGAAGGCTGTCTCCTGCGAGGACCAGAAGTTGAGCCAAGGCACAGGGAACCTACAGTAGCAGATGGTAAGAACCAGGTATGATCGCGGAGCAACGCCTGATGTCGTGGCATTCTTCCTCTATTCTGATGAAGCTGTATTTTGTTTCAGGAAAATATCTGTCCTTAACAAAAATAATTGCTCAATCCACGTTCACTGAAAAACTGCGTTGCTCAAAAAAAGAGAGGTTTATATTGCAAAGATTATTAAGAACAAGAATGTATTTCTTTTCTCTTTTCTTTTTCTTTTATCTTCTTGTTCTTGCAAAATAAACTAGGATTTGTGTGGGACATTTATTTCTTTATTCCCTACAATTGTTGCTGAAAAGACTGGCTGCCTTAAACCAAGCTGACCACAGGATGTCCCCAGTGTTCCATGAAAATTCCACTGAAAGGGCATTTACCTGGTAATGCAAAACTTGATTCTTAAAGAAGAAAGGTCAGAGCACGTAGATGTGGTCACATCTACAATTTCAAACAAAATCTGGTTTTGCAGAGGCAGCCTCAGTGTCATCAGATAAAAATCAAAGCAGATCTGAATGGAGGTTGTCCTTGAAGAAGAGTGTGCCACCTACAAGTAAAGCCACTAAACTTAACAGCCCAGAGCTGCTATTTAATTGCCCCTGAAGAGAAGTCACCCTGAGGTGGAGTTAATAACCAATACTAGATCTTTTTTTTTTCTTTCACTTTAATTTTCTCTGAAAGCTTCATGCTCAAGCGTTGTGGTGACCAATATCTAATGAAACTATGCTGCTCAAATACCTTCCTCGGGCTGACATATTTAGCAAATCCCAAAACGAGAGTCTGAAGGAGCCCAAAAGAGAAAATATTTGAAAGAATCATGAATATGCATCTAAACTTATGGAGTTAACACGTTTTAAAATAGAAATGAGTTAAATATTTAACTCAATCTGCTCTGGCACAAGGGCAGGGGTGACATAGCCACGGTGCAAAAAAGCAGCTATGGACTAGGTATTTCACAGAAGATTCCCAGGGAAGGCAGTGGGAAAGGGCAGCTCTATCTGTCACTGAACTCATGGAGGCATGGTGTGGAACTGCATGTGTGAAATATTTCCTTCTGTCTTTTCATGGATTGATAGGTCACAGAGTTCAGTGCTAGGTCAAGTCACCCAAGGACCACGGCGACTCGTCAGCCTCCTCTCTGGCCTGGATGATCCCAGGTTCAAGCAGATTTCTGTTGGTTTATGTTATCCAACCTTCGTGAGTTGACTCAACAAGTATATCACACTGATCAATTCCACTGGTGGTATAATAGCCCTCACCTCTGCTTGATTTGAACTTGTCTACAGACTGTGAGTGTCTGTTCTGTACTGGGGAACAGTCACAGAGCATGCAGCTTCACCTCAGTGAAAGTATTCAAGGGTCTGGATAGAGTCTGTTTCCCATTTTTTTCTTTTTTAATTAATTACTTTTTATGTATAATTGACATAATAAGTGAACATATTTATGGGATACAGTGTGATGTTTCAATGCATGTATACATTGTATAAATGATTAAGTCAGGGTAATTACCATATTCATCACTTTAAACATTTATCATTTTTTTTGTAGTGATAACATTCAAAATGTTCTCTTCTAGCCATCTTGAAATATACAGAACATTGTATTTGCTATAGTCACCGTACTATGTAATAGAACACCGCAATGTATTCTTCCATTCTAACTACAACTCTGTATCTATTGATCAACCTCTTTTGTTTCCCCTTACCCCTCCCCTCTCCAGGCTCTGATAACCACTATTCTACTCTCTATTTCTATTAACGCAACTTTTTGAGATTCCACTTATGAGTGAGATCATGCAATATTTGTCTTTCTGTGCCTGGCTTATTTCACTTAATAATGTCCTCCAGGTTGATCCCTTTCATTTACATACCTGTGTATGCAAATCTGAACTTCTGTTATTTTAAAACTCTTGATGGAAGCCGTGCTTCTACTGATGTGGAGGCTGTTATGAGCTGAATTATATTTCACCAAATTCCCACGTTGAAGTCCTAACCCCCAGTACTTCAGAATGTGATGGTATTTGGGGATACGGTCTTTAACAAGCTAAGGTTAAAGCTTGTCATTGGCATAGGCCCTAATCCAATGTGACTGGTGTCCTTATAAAAAGAGGAGATTAGGGCACAGACATGCACAGAAGGAAGACCATGTGAGGACATAGGGAGAAGGTGGCATCTACAAGCCAAGGAGAGGGGCCTCAGAGGAATCGACCCTGCCCACACCTTAATCTCTGACTTGGAGCCTCCAGAATTGTGAGGAAATAAATCTCTGTTGTTTAAGCCACTCACCCTGTGGCACTTTGTCATGGCAGCCCTAGCAAATGCATATAGAGGCAAAACATTTCAGTATGGTAGTACTAGTTATGTATTATTAGTCACTAGCTCTTTGGTTAAACACAGCTCTCCTAGGCCAGGCACAGTGGCTCACACCTGTAATCCCAACACTTTGAGAGGCCAAGGTGGGAGGATTACCTCAGGTCAGGAGTTCAAGACCATCTCTACTAAAAATACAAAAATTAGCTGGGTGTGGTGCTGCACGCCTGTAATCCCAGCTACTCAGGAGGCTGCGGCAGGAGAATTGCTTGAGCCTAGGAGACAGAGGTTGCAGTGAGCCAAGATTGTGCCACTGCACTCCAGCCTGGCCAACAGAGTGAGACTCTGTCTCAAAAACAGAAACAAAAACAAAACAACAAAATACAAAGCTCTCCTAACTCAATAATAATGGCTGACATCAACTTAGAACTTGGTAAATTCTGCGTATTCTACCAAGAGATTTACATATATTAACTCAGATAATCATCAAGGCAACCTTCTGAGGTTGAAATCCCCATTTTTCAGATGAGAAAACTGAGGTAAGCACCCCTGTCCCATCAGCCTCTAGGCCCCACACTTGAGGACTAGCACAAAATCTTCCAAACCATGGGGAGGGAGGATCACAAAAAGGTAGAAAAAAAATTGTGCTATTTTCTTCATATTCCTGTTTTATCTGCTAACTTCTGACACAGTATTTTTGCCTCTTGTGGGTAAATCTTGAATAGAATACACTTGCCCTACACATATGCTGATTACCCAAGAGTTAAGCTTGATTTCCACTCTTTAATCATGGGGCCACACCTTTTCCCTTTTTTAGGGCACATCTATATCCATGGGTATATTCCAAATTATTTAATCTAATCTTCCAAATTAGCTACTACCGCCAAATCCCCGTGGATTGTATGAAGAAGGCCAGGCTGGACAGGGGCGAGCAGGACATGGTGAGCATTGAGTGAGTGAGGCCAGTGACTGGGCATAACCCAGTTGGTGAATCCATGATTCACATGGAATCAGAGATCTGTGGAGCTGGGCAGGCCTTATAGATCTTCTGGTTCATTTAATTCATGGTTCCATTTCAGCACTCATCACAGTCTGGACTGATTTAGAGTGGGCTGTGTGTGTGCGAGTCTTCCCTTCCCACCCCTGAAAAGGGGTTCCCTGCAGACACAGTGCAGGGAGAGAAGCACCAAGAACTCCTCCTTTAGCAGCAGTACACACTGACACTCAGGGATGTGTCCTTGGGTTTGTAACTTGCCAGGATGTACAGCTAGTGCTGGACCAGCCCAGAGGCTGGCTTGGCTCATAGTCCAGTGCTGTTTCCATGACAACACACTGTCTCATAGAAATATCCAAATTTATTTTTTAAAAAAGATACACTGGGCTGGGCACGGTGGCTCACGCCTGTAATCCCAGCACTTTGGGCGGATCACGAGGTCAAGAGATCGAGACCATCCTGGCTAACACGGTGAAACTCCGTCTCTACTAAAAATACAAAAAACTAGCCGGGCGTGGTGGCGGGCGCCTGTAGTCCCAGCCACTCGGGAGGCTGAGGCAGGAGAATGGCATGAACCTGGGAAGTGGAGTTTGCAGTCAGCCAAGATCACGCCACTGTACTCAAGCCTGGGCGACAGAGCAAAACTCCGTCTCAGAAAAAAAAAAAGAAAAAAAAAAGATACACTGGTAGATAATTATTCTCATCACAAAGGAATATGTTACTGTGAGGAAGGATTCACTGTCTAGGACAATGAGCTTTGTAAGAAAACAGGGGCATGAGCTTGAAACCAAACTTGAAATTGAAAAATAAAAAGCAGCAACTAGACATTCACTACCTCAAAAATAGAGAAAAGCACATTGACCTTCTGGTTTTGAAATTGTTTAATAACTGGAAACTAGTTTCAAACTTGAGTTTGGCATAGTTTTAAGAACTCAGTCAAGAGGAATGCAAAACCCTATTTTTAAAATACAGCTGCTACATTTTTAAGGCAACACCATCAATCTGCAGTGGAGGGAAACATACAAAGGAAATGTACTTCAAATGTTTTATAACTAATGGATGTATAAAGTAAAATATAAAGAAAATTTGTTTAGTTTTAGCAATCGCAGAGTATTAAAAACATCCATTTTTTAAGGATTACGGAAAGTATTCAGGTTATTATTTGTTCAACTCAACCAGTTAATTATGTGAATGTCTATTTCAAAATACCCAACCGGAATCTCAGGGGATGTGTGTGAGTGTTCTATCTCATGACTCTTTATAATAATAAAAATAAGCAAAAAGTAAATACAATTTGGGTTTAAATAGCTTTCCTCTTTCCTCTGGCCACTTGGGCCTTCGTTTTGTTTAATTAATCTGTTCATTTCTGGTGAGACCATCTCTTGGCACTGCGCTGGGATACTTAGGTTTCCTGGAGTACAGAAGAACAGTCCGTGTGGTTTCATACTGAACTGTGCGGTTGGAGGGGGGTCTGCTGCAGTCGTTCTGGACACATTCCTCCTCCTGTCTTGTGTGTGATAAGAGATTTGATCAGCTCTTAAGCAGCTTCTGCCTGTTTTCGGCATCTACAGTGCATCACTTTCCTGGCTGGACTCACCAGCTTAGAGAAAGCAAACAACTTAGAAAAATCACAAGGCACAGTGCAGGTGCCCCACTGGATGGAGGGGACACACTTCTGCAGTTATCTGCTGCTGTGTTGGGTGTTAACTTCTGTGACTGAATATTTAAGCCTGGGAACTTTCTTGGTTTTCGCCCTCACATCGGGCATTATCTGGCCTTTCCCCTGGAGGGTGACTTGTGCGGGTGGGGTGGGGTGGAGGGAGAGGAGCGCGAAGGCAGGGATGACTGCCCACCTTGGATGCCTTTTCCAGCACGATGCGCTGACTAATGAGCAGAGGCCACTGCTGAAGAGCAAGGCTGGGTCTCCTTTTCCGGAGACTGAGCCCATTACCCTCTCGGCCCCACTAGCCTACAGGCACCCAGCCTGCCTCCCAAATGGATGACTTCCGGCTCGCTACGCCGCTCCCGGTCCTGGTGCCAGTGGCCGTGAATAACCTTGCTTTTGTGTGTATTTATTTTATTTTGAATTTCTCCACCCTGGATCTTTCCACCTCCAAACCCCACCCCCTGCTTGCCGGCCCCATGTGGTGATGTTTCTTGAAATGTTAGATTCTTTCTTCCTCTATCCCCCCCTCCAGTTCTGGAAGCATTTTGTTTCTGTACTGCTTTGTGAAGCTGGTGCTGAGTCCAGATCCTTGGGGCTTTAAAGTTGAATTAATTATTAAACAGGAAGGGAGCAGTACTTTCAGCAGGCGCCAAGTAACTATACTTAAACTGCAACCTGGCACTGTTTTTCCCACCCTTGTGCTGTGGTTTGCTGAAGGCAACTGGAGATTTTTATTCTAGTTTTAATCAAGCATTTCTGTAAGTTTTCAGGCAGTTAAGATTTGGCAGCCAAGGGCTGGGAAGTCAGTCTTCATCACCTCCTGACCAGTTTGGCCAAAGACAAAATTAAAACACAATCAGAAGTACTTTCCCAGTTCATAAATCAATCTGAAATTGCCCATTCTCTACGGGTTGCTTTTCCTGAGGACAGGGTGGGCTTTTCTCTCAAATATATGTGTATTTTTTATTGATTAGCTCCCATTTGTAGAGAATGGTGCTTTTCAAATAAAACCATCAGAACGTTGGCTTTAGTTGCCGTGTGATTGTTATAATCACTGCTTTAATTTAGGGGCTATGTTGAAGATACGAAACCCTTATTTAAAAATATACTCAGGAAGGCTGGGTGCAGTGGCTCATGCCTGTAGCCCTAGAACTTTTGGAGGCCAAGGCAGGAGGATCACTTGGGACCAGGCGTTTGAGTCCAGCCTAGCCAACATAATGAGATCCCCATCTCTAAAATAATGAAACATTAGCCGGGCATGGTGGTACGCCTGTAGTCCTAGCTACTCAGGAGGCTGAGGCGGGAGAATCACTTGAGCCCAGGAGTTTGAGGCTGCAGTGAGCTAGGATATTGCCACAGGACTCCAGCCCGGGCAACAGAACAAGGCACTCTCTCTAAAAATAATAAGAGTAATAATAAAGTAAAAATAAAAATACGTGCGAAGACACACAGCAGAATTTCTTACTTTTCTGAGGCTGGGTATTGATACTTTTCAGAAATTCGCAACTTGATGGAGTTGGTGGGTCACCTTAGCCCCGATACTGAATACAGGCATTCTCGCAGAACGATATGAATGAGACAGTGGCTGTGTTCTAGAGAAACCCAAAGCCTTCCTAAAGGTATCAAACTAATACCCTTAAATGACAGCAAGACGCTTTTTGGAGGCTGCCCCTGCAGAGGGCTGACCCTCTGATTTTCACCTGGCTCCTGGCATTTGGTGGTGGGCCTTTCCCAGTCTCGGCTGACTGCTCTGCAGGAAGCTCGCTAGGAAGTGCTCCGCTCAGCTCCATTAAGTCTCACCCTGTAGCTGAGCAGCGGTGCAGGCTGTCGGGGTGGGGAGGGAGGAAGAGCTATCTGGGTGCAGCTGGGTGCGTAGGCAGGAGTGTGAAGCAGCCTCAAGAGGAAAGAGAACAAAGATTTGGTTAAAAATTTAGATTCATGCATATAAATTTGGAACAGGGCAAAAAAAAGTAAGCCCAACGCACACAACCCTCCCGCACCCCTTCCAGTTGGCTTGTGGTGAAGTGTGCATGTGAGAACAGCTCAGAACGAAACACCGTACACTCATGTCACCCCTAACGATGTGCTGGGAAACCTTGCAACAGATATATCCTTAGAACTTTTAAAAATGAGAGACATTCTGTGAGCCTTCAGTCCAAATACTATTTTTTTGGACTTATTTTCTATTCAGGGATTTTTTAAAAAAAAGTATTCTTGCTGACAATTCTTAATTTAAAAAAAAATTAAACATTTTAATCATACATATAATCTATGTCTTCACTGTGTAATTTCCATCAGTCAACAGATTTAATTATAATAAATTAATAAATATACTTACAATAAGCAAAAAACTGTGGTCCACTGGCTTCTTGAAAAAGATTAGCTAGAAGAAACCAGATAAATGTACACTTCTAGGAATTTAAGCTCAAAATTTCAAGCACCTCTATTTTTTCTGAATTGTCACCTTTTCCAGGGACTGATCCTTTCTCAATAAATCATCCTCTGACCTTGGTGTTGAGATTGTCGTGGGGCTTCTACTCTCAGGATGTCAGATTTGGTCATATTATTTAGGATTCTATCATGGCCACATTGCACTTCTAACCACAGGAAATAATTTAAAACCCAGACTGGAAATGATATATTCCTCAACAACCAATATTTGGAAAATATATTTATTAAATGCACAACTTTTGTACAATTTCTATCTGTTCTTTATGTCCTATTTTCTTTCCAGAAAACATATTCTGCACTGGTTTTAAAATCACATGACAAGATTTCTAATCTTTGGGCAAAAGTCCTCATCCTTTATGTTTGGAAATGGGTTGATACTCTTATCCCTCACCCATGGGAAGTTCGCGATATAAAATTTTTAAAAATACTTTATTTAAAATAACCTTCCAACAGCTGGCCTAGTCTTCTATGTTTAGATATTAGAAAACACTGGAAAAGCACTTTCACTTAGTTAAAAAGGAAAACTAGTCAATAATAATCATAACAACCCTTTAAACCAAAAAAAAAAAGAATACGGAGAGTACCGAACAGGCATGCGTTGCGTTGTAAAAGCCTTTTTCTTTCCCTAGTTAAGGATAACTCTAAAAATATTGTGTATACCCACCTATGGTTTCCTGAGGACTTTCTTGCCAGTCTGCTGAAAAGCAAAAATTAGGAAATTATGTCTAATTTGTGTCAAATATGTTCCAAAGAATCATGGGGTTTTCCTTTCACTATAAGGAGTATTCATGGAGGAAGTCGTCCTCTGAGCAGTTGTCACCTTTTCTTACGTGGTATTCCCAACTGCAATGCCAGGCGGTGGGGGCTTTGCCACCGTGGGAGCGGCTCCAGTTCCTGGGTGAGCCCAGGGCCTGCCCAGACGTCGGCCATCTCTGCAGGTGTATGGGCTGCGGCCCTAGGCAAGACTGTCTCTGCCTTCCCCAAAGGTCTCTGAGCCCTTCTGCGGCCCAGATGGTTCCAATTTGAGGCCTACATTCAGTGCTGGAGCTGTATTGAGTTTCTTCCCTGAAACCAACAAAACCTGCTTCAGCATTTTGCTTGGATTAAAATATTTGTCCCTTTTTTTTCACAGGGCAGAAGGAGGACTCCTGAAGCCTCCGAAGGAAGGAAATCATTACAGGGCCCTACAGAAGTAGGTCATGTGCTACAGCTGCTCATAGTTTGAGAGGAAGAAACACGGGACCTCAAACCTGGAACACGACTCTTTCAAAATGCTTGTGAGTAACCCAAGGAAAACATCCTCCCCAGGCTTATCTAATAACCATGATCTCTAATCGTCTCAATGTGTGCTCAGGTTTCCTTAGGAGTTTGCACCCACTTCTCAGAGCTAACGAGACGCCGACACAGAACACAGCAAAAAGTAATGAAGGAGATTTAATAGTTTGTGTTAAAGCTAATATGGTCCATTAGGAGCTGTCATTTTTATAAACAATGAGGATATGTTACCCTCTTCTTTGGTGTAAAGTCATTCCATGCAGGACCTGTAAACATTCGGTAATGATCTGTAGAACATGCATGAATGACAATTAAAGCGCCACTTGAAAAGTCTGCTTTCCTCACATATTTGGTTTCTCGCTAAATAAACTTGTAAAGTTCATACATGTGTACGCATATGCTTGCATTATAAAAAAAGGTGTGCATTTCATTAAGAAAATCAACGAACAGATATCTTGTAAGTGTTTTTGGTTCCCATTAGCTTGAGAAATATCAGAAGTGATTAGTTAAATGAGGAGCATAGGTTCTGTTTTTTAGTGCATACTATAATAATAAAACAAGCAGTCTTTTATGGTAGCTTAGTGAGATAAAATTATAGTTCACAATGTCATGAAAGGCATGATTACTGAGTACGATCTTTGCAAGTTACAAGTAAAAAAGCTTCTATAAAACCTATCTGTTGCAAAAAAAGTACGTTCTACAGTGATTCAGATATATTTCTGAAATGTACTTTTTAATTGTGGCTTATACCAAGCAGAGACAAGACTCGAGAACTTGCATTCTTTTTGAGACTCACTGAATGTACTTGAGAAAATAAAATCAGATTGACTCCCTCTGACTTTGTAAATAGAGTTTGCTCCCTTGCTTTCTCTCTCTCTTTTAAAGGACAAATGATTCCTTTTCATAGGTTTTAGGTTTGGCAGAATTTGATTTAAAAAAACAAAAAAATTCTTACAACCCCCTAACATTTTCTGCTGCAAACAGGAGTGGGTAGGGAGTAGGGGATAAAGAAAGGTCCAGATTAAAATTATTCTAGTTATTCACATAGACTTGAAAGCTCCAGTGACGAGGTTTGAGAAGTAGCCTTAGGCAGAACTTGCTATCAAAGAAGGCCAGAAACAAAAAACATTTAAAAGCAGATTACGAGTCTCTCCTAACAAAGCAAAATCAAATCACTGATCGATAAGTGCAGCTGGGTTAAAATTGTTTCCTTAAAAAGGCTTTAAAAACTTTTTTGAGTGATAAGCTGGAGGCTGACCCTTTTATGCTTTTGAGCAGACTCCTCCTGGAAAAGCCTTTTCCATCTCTTCCAGGGCGGCCTCTTTTGGGATGAGCCAGGGTCTCTCTCTTCTCATTTAACACAAGCAGGCCCTTGGCTGGAAAAGGCTGGCAATGTGGTTTCCAAGAAAGGGAAAGATGCTCTTTGATCTAAGTCAAGCCCTCCAAGAGAGTTTAGCTACTAGACCCAACAGCATAGCTGGATTCCCCATGGTCATCTATGAACTATTTGTGCAATGCCCAAGCTGGAATGACCATTATTGGTGTAAAATCAACTTGAAACCTGAAGAAAATCTTCAACAAAGAAAAGCCCCAGACTCCAGGTCACTTAAGCCACAAAAATGTGCTGGGTAGATTATGGCTCGCTGTCTAGATCAAGGCCATGTGGACGACGTGGAGGCATACCTCCCAGCGTCAGACGTAACTCAGATGCTGGGTCTTTCAGAAACGGATTTCAAACAGGGCTTTTAAAAACAAGGGAAGAGGGGAAAAAAATAGAAAACCAATGAGCAAGTGGTGTTCAATTTATTCACATATGTTCCAAATGGCACAGAGATAAGCAAAAAGGGTTCTGGTATGTTTTTTAATGATTTCATTATCACCAGACAAGAATGGAAAGATCGTCCAGATGCTATTGAAGAGATAGAAAAAGAAGATTTAAAAAAATAAGAATAATATCTTGAATGGTTCCCTGCCCGGGTGCATAAACAGTGAAGACTGACCAATGAGATCTTTGAAGTTAGATCTATTTGCAAGTCCACTTATTTAAAAAGGAAGGTTGAGATGATGTAGAAAAAAAAAGAAAGAAAACTTTCAGAAAAATTTGATCTTGGCCTGGCTGTCTTCTTCTCTGCATGAGCATTGTTTGCCTGGGGTGGATTGTCATCTGAGCCAGTGATTAAGCAGGGAGGGAGAGTGAAGCAAAGCTACAGTACCCTCCGGTAGAGCAGGGGCTGGGCCAGTGCCCTGCTGGGGAAGCCCGTGTCACACACAGCACACAGGGAGGATGAGGATTATTCCCATTGCAAGGGCTGCAGCTTGGGTCACAGATCTGCCTCTTTCCTTCTCTTGGCTGCTCCTTGTCCATCCATAATAGCCGTTGTGGTGTGTCAAATTCTGCACTATTGCAAAGTGCCCCAGCCACTGGGTCTGAAAAAAGTTCTCTCCCTTTTCTGGAGGCTGTCTGAAAAGTGAGTACTCTCCATTGCTTGTGTGGATATACTTGGCCACCTAGAAAGTGAGTTTATGGTCTCTTTTTAGTTTTATAAAATTATTATTATTTATTGTTAGTGTTCTTAGAGACAGGGTCTCGCTCTGTTGCCCATGTTGGATGCAGGGTGCGAGGGCCTCAAACACCTGGGTTCAAGCTGTTCCCCCACCTCAGCCTGCCAAGTAGCCAGGACTGCAGTGGCACGCCACGCCCTGCTAAGGTTTGTGATCTCTTTATGGGTGTGTGTGTGTCATGTTTCTAAGTAGATTGTAAGCTTCCTGAAGGTGGAGGCCACAGTCTTCCTGATCAGGTCTATGACCTTCTAATTGTTCAGTAGAAATGGGTCTGTTGCTGGGCGCATGATAATGAAACAGAATAGACCATGCCCAGGAAAGTGCGTAGAGGTGCAAGTCTTAATCAAGGATGCAAAGTGTGTTTGGCGTGACTCAAAGTAACGCCAAAAGTATTGCTCAAAGCAGCCTCTACCTATGGAATGATCGAAACAACGCCTCTTCAGAAAGACAGCATGTGTTTTACAGACCCACGGTTCCCCTGGAGTTCCCGAAATCCACTGAGAGTGTGGCGACTTGGATTCTTCTATCCCCCAATTCTCCTGATTCACTGCCACACTGTCCCTGGGCTTTATTAGGGTAAAACTTGCCAGTATCTGGAAAAGTAGTAAAACCCTCATTTCTCTGAAAGCACTGGAATTGTACATGCAGGATGGATCATTTTCATTTACGTTTGGTATGACCATTATTTCAGCTGCTTCGTGTCTGTCAGAACTTATACATGCTGTTCGTTTCATGGCCAAAATATGGTGTGACCTATCTTGAAACCCCAAGAAAATTTCTCTAGCAACAGCATTGTTTTCTGACGTTGTAAATCATCTCTCCTTCTACATAATTTTGCATGGCCATGATAAAAATAAATGTGGATATCTGAATTTTATAGTTGAAGACCTTAAGTGGGTACTTGTAAATTAGATTCTCTGAGTCCCAACAACATCTATTTATTGTTTTGCTTATAATTCTTTAATGTTTACCAAAGGGACCTCCTATTGCTTACAACAAAATAGCAAAAAACACAATCTCTAGAAGTGTGTTTAGTCCAGCTAAGGGCTGATCTGGGGCTGCCCATGCAATCAAAACCTCTGTTTTAGCTCTCCCTGTGCCTTGAATGGTAAAGCTCTCACCCGTTAACTCTCTCGGTTCACGGATGTGTCACCGGAATTATTTTTCGTTTTGTGTTGTTGTTTTGTTTTGTTTTTTTGCATATGGTACAAATCATATTGGAAAGAGGCAAATTAATCTCTTTAATACAAAATCATTTACTTAGTACCCACGATATGCAACACCAGTGACAGAAAAGCTACACAAAAAAGCACATCAGTGGGGAATGTGGTCGTGTTCAGCTTCTTGCTCATGTAAATAATTGGAAACAGAGTCAGTGCGTCGCACTCCCACAACTCAGGTGCTGTTTCCCTTAATGGTTCCCTCCCTGTTCAAAGGCGGGTCATCTCCGGATTACTGCAGTTTTAGACAGCACGCTAATGTTCACTAACAGGGTAATGGAAATTAAAAATGTAAATAAGTGCTTGGGTTCCCTACCCCCAAATATGTCAGATAACTGCTTATTTTCCTCTAAATTAATGTGCTTTAAGGTTCTGTAGGCAGAGGCTAAACACCTATTACGAATATTATCATATGTCTCGTTTTTACTAATCTTTGGTTTGGGTGACTGGATTTAAGTGACGTAAGCAAGAAGGTATGGAAAGTGAGAGTAATCACAATGTGAAAATGCCAGTGAGACCCCTAGTGCCCTATGGCCTATTGGAGCAATTCCACCTGCCTTTTTTTTTTTTTTTTTTTTTCTGAAACGGAGTCTGGCTCTGTCGCCCAGGCTGGAGTGCAGTGGCTGAATCTCCGCTCACTGCAAGCTGTGCCTCCCAGGTTTACACCATTCTCCTGCCTCAGCCTCCCGAGTAGCTGGGACTACAGGCGCCCGCC